CTGTACAGAGCTTGGTATGTCCTGACATGGAAGATACACATAGGAGAAGTTATGTTACAGGGCATGGTATATATACATTTGACCTCATGTGCCTAATATTTAGACAATAGACATAAACTGCAATGCACTAATCTTTGGAAGTGGAGCATGTCTATGGGTTGTTATATGTAGTATTCTTCAGGGATAACAATGAAAGGTAAACATGTTGTTGCAAAAAGAGGGTTAAGGTATTAGTAGGTTGACCTTTGAGAGTCAATTGGAGTCAAGATGCATAAAGTGACATTCTAAGCACCAAAACAACTTTTAACATAATGAAAAGGTTTTGATGAATGGATCATGCTCCTTTTAGTCTCACTGTGCAATTCTGTCATTTAGGAGTTAAATAACTTTATTATGTAGCTCTGCTTACACCTTGTATGGCCATGACTCAAAGTGCTTACTGAGCATTAAAACCACTGACAGGTGAAGTCAGTAATATTGATTATGTTTTACACAGATCCATAGGTATGTCCCTTCTCGGTCTCTCCGCTCTGCCCGTGACCACCTCCTGTCCATTGTCCGCACCCGTACGGCCAACTCACGCTTGCAGTACTTCTTGCGGGTGGCTCCCTTCCTATGGAATAGCCTGCCTACCGCCATCAGACTCTCCCCTAGTCTTGCATCTTTTTAGAAGTGCCTTAAAACCCATCTCTTTAGGAAAGCGTATGGCCTCCAAGACTAACCTCTACCTCACATACCTGTCTCTTGCTCTCTCCTAAAGGGCAGCCCACCTTATTTGACCGCAAATTCCTCTCCTAATGTGTTTTACACCCCACTTCCTATAGAATGTAAGCTCGATTGAGCAGGGTCCTCTTCAACCTATTGTTCGCGTAAGTTTTTTGTAATTGTCCTATTTATAGTTAAATCCCCCTTTCATAATATTGTAAAGCACTATGGAATCTGTTGGCAATAATAATAATAATAATAATAATGGCACCTGAAAATATCTGAGTGACTTTCAAAGGCCAAATACTGATGGCTAGACAACTGGCTCAGAGCATCTCCAAAACGTGTGGGGTGTTCCCAGTATGCTGTCAATACCTACCAAAAGTGGGGTAAGTAAGGACAACAGGTGAACCGGCATCATGGTCATGGACTCCCAAGGCTCACTGATGCACGTAGGAATCGCAGGCTAGCCCATCTTGTCCGGTCACACAGAAGAGATACTGTAGCTCAAATTGCTGAAAATCTTAATTGTGGCCATTATAGAAAGGTGTCAGAACACACAGGGCATCATATTATTGAGACACTTAATTATGATTGCACACGTTTTGAATTAAAATTACATAAACAGTAATTATTTTAGGATTTTTGTAATAAATTAATGAATAGTAAGGTACACTATGCTCCCTGTTTTTATCTTCCATTTTTACCTATTGCACCTATGAGATAATTTGAGGACTCTATCTCCTGGGGCAGCAGATACATCTTCATATAGGCAGACACACATTAGGAGCTGATGAAAAAGCTCTTAATACTGTGATGAGACTGCAAAAGAACATTTTTACACTGCATAATTTAAATAGATGTTATTGCATTATATATATTATTTCCCTATATTTACTGGATACAATGAGGAATTATAAGGAGATCAAATGCAGGTATGATTTTTATTTACTTAAAGCAAACAGCTCACGTTTGGTTATATATTATTGTATATTTTGCAGTGTGTTTTTTGTTGAGAATGATTACACTGAGTTGCAACCATACACAATTTCTAGTAAGAAGTTTAGCTCACAGTCAGTACATTGATTTCGGGAATCGATGTTCATCTGTTAGTTTTCTACAGTAAAAATGTAACAATTGAATTACATTTCCTAGAAAACCCATCTGACCTCATAAAGCACAGGCATTTGGGCATATTAAAAAGAATTAATAAGAATTTAGTTATTTTAACAGTTTCTGCATATATTTGTACTGCATTATCTTTATAAAGCAGTCACATAGAATTAATCAACTCCAGTCTAGAGTACTCCATTTACCTCACACTATATCAAAGTTGACTTGAGCTGTAGACCTTTTTTACTTTCATTACACGAAGGTTACAGAAAATTACACCCACTTACTAGTATATATAAGCTGCATTGGCAGAAACAATTTCTGAGCGGATTATAACTAGTGAAAAAAAAACCTTTAGAACCAATTAAATCGCACACATTTAATAAGTGGAATAGCCATTTTCGTGGTGCCATTTGTTTCCGAAATCCAATGCTATGTGAAATTTTTAAGATATCCCACTAACTATGCACCCCTGTTTGGTTACCTAGCGTAGCCTAACTAGTCATTAGGGCTAGAAGCCAAAATAACCCTTTCAAACTTCACACTAGAAAATAGTATGAAAAAATATAGTATGCACAGCTGGAGGATCTTGATATTTTTTATCATGTTTATTTTCATATTTTACTACAAGTATGTTTCTAGACCAACACCAGTATACATATTATTATCTTGTATCCGACCACAAACAGAATGGAGAAATAAGTAGGAGTTTTCACCATATCCCTTCTTAGAATATGATTCCCTCCACTGTACAAAGGGTGTAAGTATGTGTAGGGTTATTTAGTGGTCCACTATATTAATCATTCTACCCTCCAAAAGTTTATGGGTTACCCCTTAATAATTTTTTTTTAAAAAAAGACAACATTCCATCAGGAGGTTAACTCCAGTTACTTTAATTTAGATCAGCAGTTGGATTAAAATGTAAACATTGTGATGACGCTACAACAGTGAGCCTCGGGGGAGTGGTGTCTTGACACCATATCCTATCGGATATATACATGTTATATATAGTATCTTAGAACATACTTATTGTAAAGCCTGGCTCCAGCACCTATCTAGGACCCTACTTCAAGTGCAGTGAGGTTACTGCTTTCATATCATTCTAGCTATTATATATGCTTAATATTATGGTTCCCATATTAACATTGGAGACTCTTGTCTTCCCACCATTCTTAAGTTGTTTCATTAGCACAGATATGTACCATGCCTTTCTCGCTGTGGCCCTGTGAGGTGCACTACACTAATGACTGAATTCAGACCTGCATGTCCATTACTTCTTGCATATACTTTTCATATTCCATGTCTCATGCTCAATAAAAGGTTTGATGAAAACAAAATGAAAACATAGTATTTATGTAAAGCTGTATGGAATCTGATTGCATAAAACAATCCAGCAATATTTAGCGGTTACATAGTTCTAAATTATAATTTATAGTTCATAATATACAAACACATATTTACATTTATCAAGCAAACTGCTTAATAGAATGTGTTGTTTTATTAAACAAAATGCAAAAAGTAGCGTTTCTCAAAAATTGCTCTACTTTAATCTGCAAGGCTGCTGGGGACTGATTCATATGTTGTTAAGTTGAAGTGATTTTTGTTGCTTAGTCTGCCCCTGTAAACAACACTAAGCAAGGGACTGTCTTTAACCCCTTCAGGACGGGTGACGGACGAGGTCCGTCACGCAGGGGAGACCCTTAACGACGGGTGACGGACCTCGTCCGTCACGCGGTAAAATTAACCCCGGATCGCCGCTATCGCGGCGATCGCGGGGTTAATGGTGCTCCCGGTATGCCTCTGCATTAGAGGCATACCAGGAGCACCCGGTCAAGCTGCCCAGCACATGTGCTCGCTCTGACCACAAGTCTGAGCGAGCACATGTGCTCTGTATACTCACCTACCGGCTCCCTGCACTTCCGGGTTCTGTGTGAAGTGCAGGGAGCCGGATCAGTGCTGATCCTGCCCCCTGCTGTTTAAAAAAATAAAGTTAATTTAAAGTGTCCCCCCCTTACCCATTTTAATAAAAAATTAACCCCTTCCCTGCCAATTGATCACTGACTACAGTGATCAATTGGCAGGGATTACATTTTACTATGATCTGATTTTTTTTTTTAACCCCTGAGGGTTAATTCTTTTTTTTTTTTTAACCCTCAGGGGTTAAATTAATTAAATTAATTAATTTTTTTTTTTTTAATTATATATTTAGATAGCTGGGGTGGGTGGAAGTTAGTGGGGAATTGGGGGATTTGGCGTTAGGCTAACTAGGGGTTAACGTTAAAAAAAAGTTTTAAAAGAAACTTTAAAAAGTTAAAAATTAAGCTTAAAAAAAATGTTTTAATAACATTTAAGTAAAAAAAAACTAAAAAAAAACACTTTACCTAGTCCAAATAAAAATTAACCCCTTCCCTGCCAGTCGATCACTGCCTACAGCGATCAAATAGAGATCACAGTATTATACCTTGATCTAATTTTTTTTAACCCTGAGGATTAACTTTTATTTATTTTTTTAACCCTCAGGGGTTCAATTTGTTTAATTAATTAATTTAAATATTTTATAACTATATATTTTGCTAGCTGGGGTGGGTGGGAGTTATGGGAAAATGGGGAATTTACTGTTAGTGCTGCGTACTGCTAGTTAGGGGTTAACGGTAAAAAAAAAGCTTAGAAAAATTTTAAATCTGTAAAAAAGTTTTAAGAAAGTTTAGGAAAGTTTAAAAAAATTTATAAGCAAAACAAAAGTTTAAAAACTAGTTTTTAAAAGTAAAAAGTTATAAAAAGTAAAAAAATACATTTTAAAAACGCTCATTACCACTACACCTGGAGCAAACTAGAGAAAAAATTATCCCACGCCAAGGTTCAAAATATGCCTTTTGAATTACCCCAGGGTGTAGTTTAATAAATAGTATGTGTTTGTGGGGAAGTTTCAATAACCAACCGTCTAAACTACTCCAAATTGGAACATGGACACAGCGTAAAACTTCAAAGTTAGAAAAAAACTGAATGGCTGCGTCTCAAATGCGCGCCTTCAACATCCACATATACCTGGCAAAGGTACATACGGGGGTATTGCTGTACTCAGCCGACATAGCTGAGCAACATATGAAGTATTATACAGTCATAGCACACATAAGGTTTGCAAAATATGCTGCGCAAACTCACTTTGCATGTCAAAAAGGCAGAAAAAATGCTTATTACCACTACACTTGGTACAAGCTAGCGGAAAAATGATCCCACGCTAAGGTTCAAAATATGCCTTTTGAAATACCCTGGGATGTCTTCTTTAAGAAATGGTATGGCTTTATGGGGTATTTGGTTTATATAGCCTGGTAAAATACTCTAAAATGGGACATAGGCACAGCATAAAAATTCAAAGTTTGAAAAAAAACTGGAATGGCTGTGTCCCAAATGTGCCCTTCCGATGTCCACACATACCTGGCAAAGGTACATACAGGGGTATTGCTGTACTCAGCCGACATAGCTGAGCAACATATGAAGTATTATACAGTCGTAGCACACATAAGGTTTGCAAAATATGCTGCGCAAACTCACTTTGTATGTCAAAAAAGGCAGAAAAAATGCTTATTACCACTACACTTGGTACAAGCTAGCGGAAAAATGATCCCACGCTAAGGTTCAAAATATGCCTTTTGAATTACCCCAGGGTGTATTCTTTAATAAATAGTATGTGTTTGTGGGGAAGTTTCAATAACCAACCGTCTAAACTATTCCAAATTGGAACATGGACACAGCGTAAAACTTCAAAGTTAGAAAAAAACTGGAATGGCTGTGTCCCAAATGTGCCCCTCCGATGTCCACACATACCTGGCAAAGGTACATACGGGGGTATTGCTGTACTCAGCCGACATAGCTGAGCAACATATGAAGTATTATACAGTCATAGCACACATAAGGTTTGCAAAATATGCTGCGCAAACTCACTTTGTATGTCAAAAAGGCAGAAAAAATGCTTATTACCACTACACTTGGTACAAGCTAGCGGAAAAATGATCCCACGCTAAGGTTCAAAATATGCCTTTGGAAATACCCTGGGATGTCTTCTTTAAGAAATGGTATGGCTTTATGGGGAATTTGGATTATATAGCCTGGTAAAATACTCTAAAATGGGACATAGGCACAGCATAAAAATTCAAAGTTTGAAAAAAAACTGGAATGGCTGTGTCCCAAATGTGCCCCTCCGATGTCCACAAATACCTGGCAAAGGTACATACGGGGGTATTGCTGTACTCAGCCGACATAGCTGAGCAACATATGAAGTAATATACAGTCGTAGCACACATACGGTTTGCAAAATATACTGTGCAAACTCACTTTGTATGTCAAAAAGGCAGAAAAAACGCTTATTACCACTACATCTGGTACAAGCTAGCGGAAAAATGATCCCACGCTAAGGTTCAAACTATACCTTTTGAAACACCCTGGGGTGTCTACTTTAAGAAATGGTAGGCCTTTGTGGGTAGTTTGAATTTAAAACCTGCGAAGATGCTTGGAAATTGCACATAGGCCCAGCGTCAAAATTCAAAGTTTGGTAAAAACGGATATGGCTTGGTCTCCTATATGGCACTGTAGCTTCACGAAATAGTGCCAAAGAGATTCATTGGGGGTGTCTTTTTACTCAGAAGACTTAGCTGAGCATAATTTGGGAGGTTTGAACTTAGTGGCACATATGAAATATACAAAACGCCCAGCAAAAATGCAATCCGTATGTAAAAAATGCACAAAATAATTTTTTACCACATACTTTGGCATATATTGGTGAAAAAATGGGGGTATGTTAAGGCACAATATGCACCTTATAAGATACCCTGGAGTGTCTACTTTTACAAATGGTAGGCCTTTGTGGGGGTTTTTGAACAGTCAAACTGTTATAATACCCCAAATGGAAGCTAAGGCTCATTAAATCCATCTTTCAAAATTCTACTGTGAATACTGTAAAGGACAGGTCTCCTATATGGCACTGTAGCTTCACGAAATAGTGCCAAAGACATTCATATGGGGTGTCATTTTACTCAGAAGACTTAGCTGAGCATAATTTGGGGGTTTTGAACTTAGTGGCACATATGAAATATACAAAACGCCCAGCAAAAATGCAATCCGTATGTAAAAAATGCACAAAATTTTTTTTTACCACATACTTTGGCATATATTGGTGAAAAAATGGGGGCATGTTAAGGCACAATATGCACCTTATGAGATACCCTGGAGTGTCTACTTTTACAAATGGTAGGCCTTTGTGGGGGGTTTTTGAACAGTCAAACTGTTATAATACCCCAAATGGAAGCTAAGGCTCATTAAATTCATCTCTCAAAATTCTACTGTGAATACTGAAAAGGACAGGTATCCTGTATGGCACTGTAACTTCACGAAATAGTGCAAAAGACATACAATGGGGGTGTCATTTTACTCAGCAGATGTAACTGAACACAAAATAAAACTTTGTACAGGAATAGCACACACCAACTTTACAAAATATACACGAGAATTTCTCTGTTATAAGTTTGTGTGCCAAAAACCAAAAAGAACACAATTTTACTCCAATATTTAGCAGAGGTTGGCGGTGAAATGGCTACTTAGAAAGTGTCAAAACAACCTTAGGTAAATAGCCCGTGATGTCTACTTTATATAAATATATACTTTTGTGTGGCAATTTTGTTTTCTTTTATGGCTATTAAGCTTACAAGACAAACATACCAAATTCTAAAATCGCTCCACATTAAAAGTTTATTTTACTCCTTGTGCTTTGTGACCTGTAACTACCAAAAAAAACTTAAAATCCCAGACACATTATATATTCTGTAAATCAGAACAAATAAATAAATTTATTTTTAATTACTTTCCTTAACCTGCACTAATTATGCACACATTATTATTGCAAAAACTGTAAAAAAAAACAATATTTTTCATTTTTTTTGCATTTTTCTGTATTTTTTTTATAATAAGTAAGCATTTATATATATATATGTTATATCAAATTAAAGCCCTTTCTGTCCTTTAAAAAACAGTATATAATATGTGTCGGTGCAATAAATGAGAGAGATGCAAATTGCAGTTGAACGCAAACAGCAAGAAAATGCAAAAATTGCTTGTGTCATTAAGCGTAAGTCAAGCTTCTGAAGCTGTGTCCTTAAGGGGTTAAAGGTTTTGTGAGAGTGTTTATATTTTGAGGATTTAGAAGGAGATGGTGGAGATAAGCTGGAAAGGTACAAGTGGAGTGCATGGGATGAATAAAGAGGGGAGGGAAGTAGGGTGGGAGCAATGAAAATAGTGTCAGCAGGAACAGGTATGCAGAATGACAGAGATATTTTGGCAATGAGAGAAGTGTGGGTGAAGATAAAGAATATGAGGGAGAACATTTTATAAGAAGAATGAAAGATTTTATATTATATAGGAGTTTCAGTAATGCAGAATTAGATAAGGTGGTATTTTAGAGTTACAAGAGAGGTGCGAGGGGTTAAAAGGCCAGGAGTGTGATAATTAAGCAGGTGATGAGTGTTTGAGAGACATAGTGTGTTTGGACTGTCAGGTAATTTGTCCTATCTATAAATGAAATGAGAAACTTGGGGTGGGTGGGGAGCCACCATCCATGAGGCTTGCAGCTGAGAGTTTTGGGAGCTCTATGCTGGTGTGTGTGGGACCCAGGCTGCAAAAGAGAGTCAGGGTTAGATCAAACAGCAATTTAAAGGTGGGGAGGACACAGATATTGAGGTGAGAAATGGCAGTTAATGAGGAAAACTAAATAAACAGAGGAGAAAGTATTTGGGATTTAAAGATATGAGGATAGGTCATAAATGGTGAACATAAATTAACAAGACTATCTGCAATAGCTCTAAGCTAACAAAAAAAGGGGTAGATCATAAATGGTGAACATAAATGAACAAAACTATTAGCACAATAACTAACAAAATAAACATTCATATAAGCAAGAGTTTAGCAAGGAAGGTACAATGTTAACAACTAAGCATAGTTATACTAAAGGAGAGAGAAGCGAAAAGAGAGACTAAGAAATAGATGAATAAAACCTTTTTACCAGTTACCAAAATGCGGGATACTGGGTACCTCTTCTTGGAGCTTTGTTTGAAAAAAAGTATAAGTAGTAGCAAGGTGGTGTAGGTTTGTGTGATTGATGTTTACTCACCATGAAGAATCTCAGATCTGGCCCGTTTGAAGTTTAGAACCCACTTTGGGAGGTGGGGGGCTGTATGAGGCCGTGGAGGCTGAATGAGGCCTCAAGGGAGAACGTAAAATGGTAAACCTATTTACCTGTTACAGAAATGCGGGTTACTGGGTACCTCTTCTTGGAGCTTTATTGAAAGAAAAATATAAGTAGTAAAACCCAAAAAACATATGCAGTCTAAGTGTAAGGAACCAATATATAAGGACTTTTAAGGAACGGAGGTTTTAAATCGTGCTAATGGTCTGTAAAAAGCCTGGTGAAAAAGGACTGTAAGGCTTAACCTATGAGTGGAGAGACCTTAGTTACATAGAAGACTAATACATAAGGGAAAGTGCAATAGCCTAAGTCCCGGTAGGGTATAATAATGCCTGGAGGTGTATTTTTTAAACGTAACTGATAAGAGAAAAGTGGTCAAACTGTAAAGAAGATTTACCCTGTAAAAGATAGGAGTCCTATAATTATGTGACCATGGGCGGGAAAATTAGAAACACAGATTATTTAACCAGTGGTGACTTTAAGAGCCATGTAATAACTACACATAAATCCAAATAGGATAAATAATGCGAGTGCTTAGTTACGTGAAAGCAAACTATGTACAATTACAGTAGATTTGAGAATTTAAACATTGTAGCCTCTTGCTTTCGGTAAACGAATGAACAGGAATGTACAGGAGAACTGTAATGAGAAAAAACTCCTGTGTTCGGTTAAATGGAGCATTGAATTTTTTTTAAACAAAAGCCAACGTATATGTGTTCGGCCGAACGAACGGATGAAAATAGTCGAACATAAGTTTGTTTAGTGCGGTCGGTAGTTAGTTTATACGAAAATGTAAGCGACAGCAGTGTGTACTCTGCGGTCGGCTGTTAGCCGCACGAACGCAGAAGTACACAAACGGAGTAAGAGCAAGTAATGAAGGGAGCCTATCCCCGCCTTTTTAGGCCCAAACGTGGGAAATAGCCGAACACCATTTCCCACGTTTATGCTTACGTGGACGTTCCGCTCTCGACCGGAAGCTGAGTAGTGAGCAGCGAGGTCGGGTAGAAGCCGGTGGACGGGCACGGAAGATGGAGGCAGGAACTGCTGGCAACGGACTGCTTGCTGGAGACTGCTTGAGACAGGACTTGGCGGGAATGACGAACCGGAAGTGCAGGTGGTGTAGGTTTGTGTGATTGATGTTTACTCACCATGAAGAATCTCAGATCTGGCCCGTTTGAAGTTTAGAACCCACTTTGGGAGGTGGGGGGCTGTATGAGGCCGTGGAGGCTGAATGAGGCCTCAAGGG